GGACCGTGTGTGATGACCTCTGGGACCTGACCGAGGCCACCGTCGTGTGCCAACAGCTGCAATGTGGCCAGGCTGTGGCAGCCCCCACAGGGGCCCACTTCGGGGCAGGCTCAGGGAAGATCATGCTGGGCGATGTGCAGTGTACGGGGCGTGAGAGCCACCTGGGGCAGTGTGTGCGTAAGGACGAGGCCGGGCACAACTGCGGGCACCTGGAGGACGCTAGCGTTGTCTGCACAGGTGAGGGGCTCGCTGTCAGCGCTCATTTGGAGGACTCCTATTCCCTCACTTCTCACCTGCCCACACACACCACAGCCCAATCTAGGAATGTCAGTGGATCAGGCAGCCAGCCGGTGTTGCCGACCTCCTTTCAAAGGTATGCATCAGCCTGACCATCCCCTTGGCTGCAAAGATTGCTACGTAAGGCTCATAGGCTGGATCCAGGCTCAGAAGTGGCCTGTTTAGTTTGAAAATTCAGGCTGAGCTTGAATTCAGCCACATCAGAGTCTTTGGCATAAAAATTCAAATTCTTACACTTTTGTGAAAAAAAAAAAAAAGCAGAAGTTCAGGCTCAAAACAGCAAATTCTTTTATTATATTAACTGGCTGGATCTGAGAAAGAGCTTCCCGTTTGGACACAGCTGTCCAGTTCACACAGCCCCCACCCACCACTCATGTCACTTGTTTATCGCACCTGCATGGCCGTCGGAAACTTCTGAGTTTGTGACCTCTGGGTGACGGAGCCAAATTTGTCAGCTGGTGTTCCAGGCCTTCCATGCCTGGGTCTGGTGACCTTCCCAAACATATGTGTCCCTCTGGTTGACTCTGCCCCACGGTACTCCCCAGTCTTTCCTGATTCTGTCCCACTGAGAGCTGGAAGAGCGTCTCTATGAATGACAAGCTCTATCAGGCTGCATCTGGCCCCTCTGAGCCGCGCCGCCACGATGCCTCAGGCCCCTGGGGCAGCACTGTCTTCTGAAGCTCTCCCAGGACTCTCAGCATTGGCTGTCTGGTCTCCTGTCTCAGATCCCCAGGCAACGCCAAGGTCCTCAAGGTCAGGGTCTCTGCCTCTGTCTACTTCCCACAGCTCCCTAGAGATAGCACATTCCCAGTAAACATTCACCAACTAAAATGTAATAACATGCATAATCTCTGTTCCTTTTGATAGGCGCTGATCCCACAGCTGCTCAACCTACAGGTAGGACCATGTTATGTTGGGAATCATCTACTAGATTCAGCGTGATGTAAAGAAGATTGTGAGGTTTAGAGTCACGTCCTGGTTGGACTCCTACTTCATGCCTTCACTCATGAATTCATTCAATGGATATGGACTGAGTGCTCACCATGGGCCAAGCTCTGTGCCAACAAACACTGAGGTTTCAGCTGCGATCAAACCCCCCTGGGTCTCTTCTTTCATGCGATTTGCACCCTAACAGGAGAGACAGACATGACATATGATCACCCTCTATTATGTGACTTCAGCCAAGTTATATTATCTCCCAATCCCATTATACCTCGATTCCTCTTCGTTAAAGTAGGAATTCTATAGAGAATTAGATAAGGACATGGATTTGACAATGCCTAAAGATACCTGACATCTGGCAGGTGCTCACACAGCAATGGTTCCTTCCTTTGGTCACATGCCCTCCCAAGGGAGGCAGTGTGGGGGTTGGAAAGGGCCCTGAGCTGTAGGAATCTGACCCTGGCTGGTCTCTCTCCAGCTGAATGACCTTGGATTAAGTCTCATGTCATTAGAACAGGCACATTGAATTCCATGCTCCCTAAAATTTTATGCCTTTGACATTCTGTGACTAATAAGGGGGAGAAATAGGCAGCCACGAGGATTAGGGGAATGAAGTGTGTGCCACTATGGAAAACAAGAGGTTGTCTTTGAAAAACAGAGGCATAGATCTTGTAGTAGAAACTGAGGGACACTTTCCCCCCTAACATTTTATTATGAAAATATTCAAATATACAGCCAAGTTTGAAGAATTTAACAATGAAATCCACCTAGAGTCTATAATAACTTTATCAATCCAGCTATCATGCCTCTATTCATCCATCAACTCATCTTATTTTTTATTGAGGTTTGGTTTATGTACGACAAAATTCACCCATTTTAAGGTCTAGTTTGGTGAATTTTGGTAATTGTCTCTAAGGGTGTAATCACTGCTGCAGTCATGACATAGAGCAGGTCCCTCGTCCTGAAAGGATTCCTCATGCATTTCGGAGTTGATGCCCTCTTCCTTCCCACCCCTCCACCAAGGACCTGCTGTGTGACTTTCCTTGCTTTGCTCAGGTGATGTCACAACACACCTGGGAGAGGGCAGCTAAGAGTGAGATGATAACCAAAAGCTTAGGGAAGGAGTTCCACTGAAAATTGGATGCTTCTTATTCTCCAAACTGGTGGCGTGGCTGAGAGATGTGGCATCGCTTGATTATCCAATGGAGAGATGGCTAGTGCCTTAGAGTTCATCTAGTCCAGACTCACTTCCTATCTCCCCTTCTACTCCACTGTGCATTATTCACACAGGAAGCAGATTCTAAATTTCTCAGACTTCTGTATAGCACTTTGATTCGTCAGTTCTGATGGTTGTGAGTGGGTGGCCGTGGATATGGCTCAGGGTTGGGGTAAGATATGAGAGGCAGTTAAAGACACTTCCTGCCCAAGGGCAGATGGCTGGTGGGCCAGACCTGGCCAAAGTCAAGGTGACTCAATTCCATTCCCACCCTCTCCTTGCCTGTGCCTCGTTCCTGGTGCAGCCCTGGCCCCACAGAGCTTCTCTTGCTGTTGATTTACCCACATGCTCTCAACCCGAACACCCAGAGTTTTCCATGCCAGGACCCTCTCTCCTTCATCAAAACCCCAGGTCCCTTAATTCCCTGCCTTTAGCCAGCTCTCACTCAGAGGGTGAGCGATGAATAAAGCTGAGTAGACAAGGTCCGATAGAGCTTCAGTCACATCCCCTCCTGGGTTGTCAAGTCTAGCAGGTGGGAATGGATTGGTCCTGGGAGAGAATCTCTAGTGGAGGTTCTGGGCCAAGCGTCAGTGGTAGGAGAGATGTTGGGGGCATGAAAGGGGATCCACAGCATCTTAGGTCCTGACTCAACATCCCGAGCAGCACCAGGTCAGAGGAAGCAGTGAATCGGTGCTTCTTTCTATTCTTATACCAAAGCCTTGGAATCCCCAACACTTGGGTCACTGAAACCATGTCTTTCATGTCCTTAAACCCCCTAACTTTAAAATATCTCATTTGTGTGTATGACAAGGGAATGATGCATCCATATCTGGGAAGCGTCTACATCAGTGCTTCTTCTATCCCTCACATTCACATCCCTACATGCTCTGGCTTCCCCTCCCCCCCACCCCCCGCCCCCAGAGAGTGGCTCAGCAGTTTTGGGAAGGGCCCAGACAGTGGACCTGTTACAAGCCCCTCAGTGTCTCACGTGCAAACAGGGGTGTAGTCCTCGGTGTCAGCTGACAATTCACATGTCCTTTGTGTGTTTGATCCATGCCATTGGCTGCCATGGCAGGGATGATCACTGCATGTGAGACTTTGGTGTCCTTGGCTGTCCTGACCATCACCCTGTAGCTCAAGCCCTGAAGTGATTCTTCAAGAAAAATTGAGCAAAATAGTACTGCCCTGTCTGGGTGACGCCTCTGAACCTGTGTTCTAAGGGAAGAGTCCAATAATGAAAGCCAATAAACTTATGGTTTCTATTTTACTTCTGTTTAGTCAAAAAAGGAAGCCCAAATAATCAAGTGGTGCCAGCCTTCTTGGTCTCCCAGCATGGACACCATGTGTGAAGGGCAGGCATGTGGCCGTTAGCACAGCAATGTTGCCAGGGCGCTAACTACCGAAGGGCATCATTTCAGAGGGCTTCCACCATGATGGTCATGTTATTCTTCTCCGCCCTCTCCCCTTCTCTGACATCCTCTGTCCTCCTTCTCCATCCATTCTCTTTCATCTATCCTTTTCCCTCTGCTCTTGCCTATATCTTGGGTTTCCAGAAGCTTCATTGAATTTTTCTTAGCACCACTTGGAGGTAAAGGGCTAAAATAATACTGATGCCTAGAAAGCCTACTTGGTCCTTCTAGTGAAGAGTCACAGCATCACCTTTAATTTTGGACTGAATATTGGATAGATGGATAGACAGACAGACAATTGGAGAAAAAAATGGTCAGGCAGATGGACAGGCGGACACAGAATGATACCAGTGTTGCAGGAGATGGATGACTCCAGGCAACTTCTGTCCATTTAGCAGTGGATTTTTAATAGTGTAATTTTAATAAATTACAACTGGTAAGAGGTGAACATTGCCATCTTCATACACATAGAGGGTCCACGTAGGCTCAATCTTAACTGGGAAAATGAAGCAGTTTGCTCATTACTACTGGCGACCTGACAAAAATCAAAGCAACAAAACCCACCACTAGGAAGTCACCAGAGAGAAAGATTCTGGCTGATAGGTGATAATTGCTCTGCTCAGCAAGCCTATGTCAAGGGTAGAATTCTCAAAAGAAATGAGAAATGTTTCAAATTTCAGACACTTTCATGACCTAATTTCCTAAGTTTGCAAGAGTTTTTAGACTAGTTTGTACCTCTGATACATCCAAAGACGTACCCTTAAAGTAATGGCTAATGAAACCTTTTGGGGTGGGGTGGATGAAATGAAAAAAACAAACACAAAAAAAACAAAGTGTGAATTACAAAAATAGTGAACCAAATAATGAAAACACTGAAATTCTAAAACATCTTTCTGCTTTTAGAAAAATCTTCCTGTGGCAGCATTATTACTAACTCATCTGGAGCAATCAGGAACCCCCCGCAGAATGAAATGCATAACAACATCACGTGTGTGTGGGAGATCAGGGCAAACGTGTCTGACCAGATACGGCTGGCATTTCCATACCTTAGGTAAGTCATCTCTGTGTTACTTACGTACATGGTCGCTTAATATTCCAAGCATTTATTTCCTTGGTTGACTCTCATAACAAAAAGAGTCCTTCATGTCTTTAAGTTTTTACTTTGAAATAATTATAGACATACAGGAAGTTACAAAAATAATGTCTAGAGTCCCATGTACCCTTCACCCAGTTTCCCCCGTTAGTGGCATCTTATTATAATTGTAGAACAATATTAGAAGCACAAACTTCACATTAGTACAATACTGTTAGCTAGGCAACAAACTGTATTCAGTTTTCACCATTTTTTAACATGTGCATGTGTGTGCCCGTGTGTGTGTGTGTGTGTGTGTGTGTGTGTGTGTGTGTGTAGTTCTGTGCAATTTTATCCCATGATAGATTCATATAACCACCACCGCGATCTAGGAACAGAACTGTTCCGCTATCACAAAGGAACCACTCCTTACTCTTTATATCCACAAGCAACACCCTGCCCTGTTCCCTGGCAGCCACTGATCTGTTGTTCTCCATCTCTGTAGTTTTGTCATTTTGAGAGCGTTACATCTGTGGAATCACAGAGTATGTATCCTTTTAAGGTTGACTTTTCCCACTCGGCATAATGCCCTTGAGGTCCACCCAGGCTGTTCTGTGTAGCAATAGTTGGTTCCTTTTTGTTGCTGAGTCGTATTTCATTGCAGGGACACCAGAGTTTGTTTAACCCCACTGAAGGACATTTGAGCTGTTTCCAGTCTTTTGCTCTTATAAGTAAAGCTTCTATGAACATTCACAAACAGGCTTTTGTGTGAACACATGTTTTCTTTTCTCCGGGTTAAATAATCCAGAGTGCCATTGCTAGCTTGTATGGTGAGTACACATTTCACTTTTTAAGAATATACCAAACTATTTCCCAGAGCAACCACCATTTTACATTCCCACCAGCAACATATGAGAGATCCAGCACTTGATACCCTAGCACTTGATGGTATTTTTCGTAATAGCTGCTTGTAGTTTTTAGCATACAAATATTATACGTTTTGTTAGATTTATATGTTGGTGTTTCTTTTTTGCTGGAGTAATTATAAATGATACTGTGTTTTTTAATTTTTGGTTTCCAGTTATAGTCCCATCGCTGCTCTGGGACCTTGAGCAATACATAGAAATGTGGTTGATTTTTGTGTGCTTCCATGAATTTTTAATTAAAATGAAATTCACCTTATATGCTTTGCATAGGTATGTGTGAGTGTGTGTGTGTG